TGTGTGCGCGTCTTCACTTGACGCTGCTATTTGCCAAGGGCACCCGTGCCTGGGGAGGTCCAGGGCCTGCTTACCTGGAAGTAGAGGTCCAGGGCAGCCATCATGTCCTCCCCCTTAGGAAAGCACTGCCAAGTGGAAAGGAGAGAGCCTTTCTCCCCCGCCCTCAGCCCCTTTCACAAGGCCTGCATTTCTGCTCCAGTCCTCCCTGCCCCCCACCTGTGCCACCACACAGCCCCTTACCTTCTTTTCCTTGAGATAATAGCCGATGGCGTAATTCCGGTCCCCTGTCTCCTTCTCTGACTGGAATCTGAAGCAAGCACCCAACTTAGTACTTGAAATGTGAGGGATGGGGTGTGAGGAGAAGGGGGGAAAACACCTTTCCTGAGAGCGGGAGGGCTCTATCACAGGGTCGGGCCAATACAGGCCCTTTCTGCATTCTGATTGCGAGCCGGGAGGAACCCTCTAAGCTGGGTAAACACTGGGCATAGTAAAGCAAAAAGGCCACACCATCCAGGGACACTGGCGGAGTCATGGGCTGGGAGACTCTTGGCCGGGAAGGGGCTAGCCTTTTAAGGAGCATGGTAGGACTGTCATGTAATGAAAGGGCCCAGAGGAACCCTGGGATTGATTAGGTTCTCCCTCGCAGCCACTTCCCCGCACGCCTCTCAGACTGCACACAGACATTCAAGTCCACTCGAATCAGAGCCTCACGTGGCATTGCTGAAGCCCATGTGTTCATAGCCAGCCATCTTGTTCAGGTACTGCAACACCTGGAAGACACAGAGACACGGGAGCTCCCACATGCTCCAGGACCCCGGACTGCACACACCCGGCTAACCAACCGGCCCTTCGGATGGTCTCTGTCCTTGCCCCAGAGGGCAGGGCCTTGAGGAGGCTGCCCTCAGGCCACTAGATTCCCCCACCCCGACTAAGCTTCCAGGATGGGCTGGTGTTGGCGGAGTCGGAGCAGCCCACCACAAAGAAGTACAGCCAGGCGCGGAGGACAGCAAGGGGACTTACAAAGTCGAACTTCTCCGCCTTGTTACTGTCCATCTGCAGAGAGACACACAGGGAGAAGGGCGTGACAGGGGGAAGGACTTCTCAGAGACAGACGAGGTTGCTACTTTTACAGTCCCTGTTTCTGCAAGATATTCTGTTTTGGTTGGGGTTTTTTTAATGATTATTTTTGTTGTTTTTTATTTTATTTATTATTTAAAAAAATCATTTTATTGGGGGCTCTTATAGCTCATATAATATTCCATACAGCAATTGTATCAAGCATATTTGTACATATGTTTCCAGCATCATTTTCTAAACATTGACCTTCTAGTTGAGGCCTGGGTATCAGCTCCTCTTCTCCCACCCTACCCC